GAACCTTGTATTGAATATGAAAATATGATATTTGCTATTACAGTGCATATATTCGAATACACAGTGCAACTGCTCCTTTCCCTAGCGTATGTTGTATGAATGCTTATGTTATAGATCTATAATGCTTACGTTATAGATCTATAATTCTTATGCTCTGTTTGGATGAAGTGAACTTAAGTAAACCTAGTGCAATAAAGTAAACCTAAGTTTTAATAAAAACTGGGTTAACCTAAGTGAACTTAGGTTCATGCGTAGAATGGCGTTTGGAAATAAATAAGGTGAACCTAGGTTAATGTCATAAATGTTGTTTGGATGAAGGTACTCTAGTTTATTTTATGTTGAACGGGAACTTAACCTCCGAAACCCCCCGATTCGGAGGTTCTTCAATTTGAGGTGTTTCTAGGTTCTCGGGAGTTAAGTGAGGTTAAGTTATAACCTAGATTCTTGTTGCAAAAACACAAACAAACGAGGTTAACTAAAAATTAAACCTCCAATAACCTAGGTTAACCCCCAAACAAACAGGCCATTAGGGTTACGAGTCTCAACCTCCAGACTTTATATGTCTGTAGGGTGAGCTTGTTTACGATATAAGTGTCAGCCAACTAAATGGGCTCATAACATTAAGTTGGCGTGACCTAATTAATTAACTAACTAATCTAATAACAACACAAATACAATGATAAATAACATGATTTCACACCATAAAATATTATCTAACAGTTAACAAGTAATATATTTCTCTACTACATTTTACATAGTAATATTAGTGATTTTTTCAAATTAAAACATAATTATCTTATTAAATCATAATAAGGATAACACAGAAAGATAAAGTATATTTAATCATATTTTGAGGAGATAAATAACATATGCCCGCCACTCTCCATAACATTTACTTCATCCGTAACATAAAAATGTTCTCATTTCAAAAGTAGGTAGATTAAGAATGGTGAAAAAATATAAAGTATTGAGGATTTGATGGGAAGATAGTGAAATAGTGTGATGAAATGAAGGATGAAAATAATAATTGTAATAGTGTATTATTTTTAAAATTATTGAGAATTTGATGGGAAGATAGTAAAATAGTGTGATGAAATAAAAGATAAAAAAGGGAAAATAACTTTAAATAATACAAACTATCTTCCGTGAACCAAGAATAATACGTACTTTGAAAAATAAGATTTAATAATACCAACTATTTAAATATAGACCAAAAGTGATATAGAACATTTTTTTACTTAAAATTCAACTATTTAACTCATAAAAAACATGTATCAAAATATCTATAAGTGATTATATTTCCAAATATCATTTATTTGATGGGTTGTCATTAGCTTTTGATGTCTTAAATGATCAATTTTTTGTTGTCAAAGAATGACTTCATATTATTTTTGTTTGAGTAAAAGGTCAGTTTAGTTCTCGAAGTTGCATAAAAGGGGTCAAATAAGTCCTTATATAGAAGATTCTGTCCGGACGTGCCATTTGAGGTGGTTCCCGATGGAATTTTTTGATCAAATTTTTTGAACATCTTATTCATTAAGTCTAGTTTACTCATACCAAATTTCATATAAAAATTCAACCGGGAAGACATTCAAATTAATTCTTGAAGATAATAGTGCTTTTAACTGCACAGTTATCTTCAAGAATTCATTTGAATGTGTTCCCGGTTGAATTTTTATCTGAAATTTGGTATGAGTGAACTAGACTTAATGAATAAGATGCTCTAAAATTTTCATCAAAAAATTCCACCGGGAACTGCTTCAAATGGCACGTCCGGACAGAATCTTCTATATAAGGACTTATTTGACCCCTTTTATGCAACTTCGAGGACCAAACTGACCCTTTACTCATTTTTGTTTTACATTCAAAAAGTTGGTATTATTAAAAGTCATTTTCTAAGTTTGTATTATTATTGGTTCATGGATGATAGTTGATACGGAGTATTATTTAAAGTTATTTTTCCTAAAAAAATAATTGTAATAGCATATTTTTTCAAAATTATTGATGTATGATGTGCATATGGAATTGGAAAGATTTATGAAAGAATAATTCAGGGAGAGATTTAGGGATTAAAAATTCCTAGTATAGCACATTTTATGATCTCTGCCGCTCTCCATAAATATTAGGGAAAGTTCCCGAAATAGGACTAAAACAGTTTGAAAATTCCAAAATAGGACCGGCATGTTTTTATTCCCAAAATAAGAGTAATTACTGTCAAGTTTGAAAAATACTGTCATGTTTGAAGTCTGGTACTGCCAAAACATGACAGTAATTAGTTCTATTTTAGGAATAAAAACATGACAGTCCTATTTTTAGAATTTTCAAACCTATTTACTCCAATTTCGGGTAATATCTCTAAACATTATGGTTATGTTTGGCAAATGGCTTATGAGCCAGCTTTTAGCCTTTTTGACACATTTCAGCTGTTTGATTAGTCAAAGAAGCTAATAATAATGTTTGGTAAATGACTTTTTAAATTAGCTTGTTGAGTTTGAAAAGCTGAAAAATGGATGGTTGAAGAAGCTAAGGGGAGCAGCTTCTTCATTCGGCTGGTTCAATTTATTCCTGTAAGGTATAGCTCGAAGCTCCCAAAGTGAGTGCATATAGCTCTAATTTATTCCTATTGTGGTTTTGCTCGTTTTTTTGAACTTAGTCAACCAAATTATTTTGCTTACCAGTTTTTCTTCTTTTCACTCGTTTTGCTTAACTTTCATTGTTTTGAGTTAGCATTTTTTAAATTAATCATTTAAGTAATATATACTAATAATTACTCTAATTATTTTAAACAAAACTTGTTTAATCAAATGCGTAGTACTATCTAGACAAATAATATGTGCTTAACTAATATTTTATATTATTAATTATGCTTTCTATCTTGAATTAATTTGATGTTTCTGATTTAGATGATTGAGTGATTATAAAATTAGATACTATAAATTTTTGTAGTATGATGAACATTCCATAATTCAAAGTAGATATTAAAATAGATTTTATTCAACAAATTTTAAAATTTCTAGTTATAAAAATGATTTATATCGTTGAAGTAACAATAATTATAAAATTTTCATTCTTAGCAATAATAAAATACAACGAGTAATATTATGTCTTTATATGTCTTTTTACGCTCTCTTCGAAACAACCAATTTTACCAAACAATTATTTATAATCATTTATAATCAGCTAACATAACCAACCAGTCAAAACACTAATACAACCAAACCGGCTAACCGTAATGTATAAGGTACAGCCGGCTGTACCTAGGGCATGGTACAGCCAGATTTTTTTTGTAATTAAATCCAAGTTTCAGGGTTAAGGTTAAGTTAATGTCTGCTGCTCTTTTCTTTTCCCATCTTCCGTCGACTCTCTTTCTTTTTTAGCCGATGGCTGCTACGGGCTTTACTCCGTTGTCTTTTTTTTTGGTTTTCTCTTTTCTTTGATTTCGTTGCTTTTCACTTCCGTTTCTGCTTTTCTTTTCGTGGCTTTTCATTTTTCATTGTTTTCAGCTTTTGTTGTTTTCTTGTTTGAGTTCTTTCTTTTCTTTATTTTTTCTTTAACATGCTTTGATTTTTTATTCAATTATAATGCAAATGTATAATCTTAAATATTGTTAATGTTCAAGTTTGTTTTTTCTTGTTTTTCAATCAAACTTCTAATTTAAGTATTTTAAATTTCTGCATTATAAACATTTTAGGTATTAATGTTTTGTTCTTCTATTTTTAATTTTAAGACGACTACTTGTTATTTTATTAAATATTTTGTGCTAATTACTAACATGAGTTTTGTGCTACACTACAATGAGTATAATGCAAAATAAATGTGCATGAGTTTTTCGATAATCATTTTGTAAGTTACGCATGTTCATCTGATACTCGTTTTATGCTCATTTTAAAATGTCGTATTAATGCAGATATCAAAAGTATCATTTTAGATTCGCATAAGAGTTAGATTATATACATTGGAGCAGGGATCATGATACTCAATTGCATGCTTCTGATACTCAATAAAAGAAAATTTGATGTTCAACAAAAATTCCTTGATGCTCAAAGCTTATTGTTTTCATATCATTGCTCATTTGGTAAGTAATGTATGCTCATGTTGTATTCGTGTTAGCTCATTTTAACATATTAAATAAATGCTTATACTCAATTGCATGTTTCTAATACTCAATAGAGAAGGTTTGATGCTCAATAAAAATGTCTTGAAGTTCGACTAAAAAAATTATGATTTTCATATCAAAACTCATTTTGTAAGTAACTTAAACTCAATTGGTGCTCATGTTATGCTCACTTTTAAAATGTCATATCAATGCATATTTCAAAAGTTGCATATTACATTAGATTCACATATTGATGTCCATATGAGTCGATTAAAGATAATATATAGTAAGTTCTTAAAAAGGGAAAATAAGAAAAGGAAAGTAATTCGAATATGTAAAGGAGATCATCACACACATTGTTAGGCTATCAATGCTCAACAAAACATGCCTGATGCTCACTAAATTGCATAATCCTAATACTTAATAGATGATGTTTGATGCTCAACTAACAAATCTTACGATTGTCATATCAATGCTCATTTGTGCTTTATGTAAGCTCATTTGGTACTGATTTATTGAGATTTTATAAAAGAGAAAAGAAGAAAAAGAAAGTGAATTACAATTTATGAAGTTGATATCACAATACTCATTAATCGACTCTTAATGCTCAGTAGAATACATCTGATGCTCATTAAAAGTGTATTAATGCCCATCTAACGAAAATCACGATTTTGACTGAAATTACGAAAATGACACCGTTTTTTAGTTTTGATATCAGCTTTCTTGTAGTAACACGGTGCTCATTATTGGACGCTTAATACTCATTAAAATTGGACTATTGCTCATTAACAATACATTAATGCTCATTTAGCAGAAACCACAATTTTTACGTTAATTACAAAAACGCCACCGAATTGTTTTTCCTTGAGCATGTTATTGGGTCTGCTGTACTGTGCTCGCCCTACAGCCGGATGTACAGTATACACCCTCCCTGCTAACAGCAACCGCAACAGCTATATGCGCCCTTCAGTTCAACCCTCGTGTTATCTCGTTTATGGCGATGGGGATGAATCGGATGATGGCTCAATTTATGCTGGAAACAAACCTGAATTGTCTCCGGCATCCCCCAAACCGATTTCCATTCAACCACGCCCATTTCTCATCATTTTTTCATACTGCTAGACGACTCCAATCATTTTGCCTTCATAAACCACCCTCAAAAGTCAATCTTGAATGCCTCTGCACCAACGGTAAAACTCCAAGTCCCGATGCCAACGGAGCAACAATAGTTCTACAAATGAAAGACGACAACTATCACCCGTTTGAGGTCCTCGAGAGGACTATTCTGAATACCCTTAAGGCTTTTCGTGAGCCGTTCGCTGCCGCTATTCTCGCGGGGTTACTGTTTATGCATGAGCCGAATTTTGCTTTGGCGGCATCCGGCGGGAGAGTGGGCGGGGGGTCGTTTTCGTCTAGAGACTCCTCCTCATCTAGGTCTTATTACTCGATGCGGACTGAGGAGCCTAGGTTTTCGTACTCCTTGCCCTATCATGCCCCTTCCCAACTTGGACTTGGAGGAGGTGGGATTTACATAGGACCTGCTGTTGGTGTTGGTTCCACTTTCTTTCTTATTATGATCAGCTTTACCGCTTTCATTTTAGTCTCCGGTTTCCTATCTGACATGTCAGAGGGCAGTCTTCTCACTGCTTCTGCTGAGAAAACCAGTATATTTAAGCTTCAGGTACCAATGTACAATCAATACTGTAGTTTTTTTGTTGACACCTAGCAAAGCTAGATTCAATTGTTCTAGTATTTAATTGAAAAATTCTCTTCTTGTACACACTTTACCACATATCTTACAAAACATGTCCTCACAAATGTGTAAAAGTGGGTACAATAGTAAAGTGCGTACCAAAGTTTTTTTTTTTAATATTTACTTACCATGCGTTATTTGTGTTGTTTACACACACACACACACACTTTGTAGTTGCGTATATATCAGAAAGGGTGACATACCTTTTTTTTCTTGTGAGGATCGAGGAAGTTGTATTACTGAATCAGATATAGCAAGCAATAGCAAACACTATCTTGTACTTCTTGATGCATCTTTGTCTTGATATTTTGGAGGCTTGCTTCTTTTGTGAAATGTAGATTATAAACGTGAGTATTTTACTATTTTAAAATGATGTGAAAAGGCAGAGTTTCTACTGCTGCATGCTACATGAAAGTAGATTATTCATGCCTATTATTTACATAGAATGAAATGGTATAGTGACTAATTAATACTACCTTTGTTCCATAGTGTAAGATGCATATAAGTTGATTGCGGGTTTTAAGAAAATAAAAGATAAAGTGGTTGTTTTAAAATTCTAACCTCCAAAACGTAAGAAAGTGAAAAATGTATTTACAAAAAAGTAAATGATGAAGTGATAGATAAAGAGATAAAGTGGGAGTAAAGGTGGAGTCCTATTAAAGAAAGTATTTATATTTTTGGGACAACCAAAAATGGATAGTGTATCTTACAAAATAGGAATGAGGGAGTACAAAGTAAGGAGTATTTAGTTTTACTTGTATTGAGACAAAGAAAATTGGTTTGATCAGTGGAGCTTGGGAGCTCTAATGTGGAGAAATGGGGGCAATTTACCCTTCACAAATACTGACACGTTTTCTTATAATACTTATAATTTTTCAAGGTTGGTTTGTTGGGATTGGGTAGATCACTCCAGAGTGATTTGAACCGGATTGCTGAAGTGGCTGATACATCCACACCAGAAGGCATAAGTTATGTATTGATGGGTAATAATAATATTCTATACCTGTGTTTCCCATCTCTTCATTGTGGGATAACTTTTGTATTAGATAGTGGTGTTATTTAATCAAATACTTGCTGCATTTTTTCTCTGTCCTGGTTGCAGAAACAACTTTAGCATTGCTTCGCCATCCTCATTACTGCATCTTAGCGTATTCATCGGTAAGTAGTGCCACTATACTTTCTTTTCATTCATTACCCTTTTTTTTGTCTTTTCAAACAAGCTGAGTTGAGCCAAGTCGAGCTCAAACCAGGGCGTGCTCGAGCTCAAATAAATTTTCTATTTTTGAAAATTTTAATATTATTTTTTATTCATACAAATAAATAATACAGAGTGCATAACATTGTACTTCATTGTTCTCATTGTATTAGTTTCTCTCTCCTTCAATAACATTATTACTTCTTATTTGTACAATCAATTATAATTTAAAATATTGAAATATATATATATATATGTATTGATAGATAATAAGGTATCCAAACTATATAATTTAGGAGAGATTGAGCCAAGAGAGAAGAAGATGATGAATAGTGTGAATGTATTATGAATGAATTGATTACGAATTAAGGTTTACAAGGGGGTATTGATAATTCGGGTCTGGGCCTCTAATATTGGTCTCTAATATGAAAACATAATCTAGAATACCTGAATAGTAATAATAATGTACAATAATGTGAGTATTATCTATCGGTGTATTCAGGCCGCTGTCCAAACCCAATAGTTGGCAGACCAGGGGTTAAGTATAATATACTCTATCACGAGTCTCCTACTCTTTGAGGCGAGTACTCGAGGAGAAAGGGAGTAAAATTATGTGCTGATCTTCAATGTGATAGTGCGATCGATGCAAGTGGCAATCTTTGTAAAAAAAATGAATTATGTGCTTCTTCGATTAATAGAGGCGTTAAGTCCCCCGCTCTTCCAGTCCCCCACTCCTTGAGACGAGTGTAGTGAAGTGAAGATTAGTAGAGTAGTGCATGTGATAAAAACAAAAAAATAGCAATCAACGGGGTAAACCATTGCCCAAGCTTGAAGCTTAAAATAACTCTTTATTCCAGAATAATAATCCCCCAGTTGAATGACCCCCTTAAGGGTTATAAATAACCTACTAATTAAAGCTAATTAAATAGGAAACTGAATGAATTAAAAATAGGAAACATAAGGCAATAATTAAATAATTAATTAAAGCTAATTAAATATTCTGCCCAGGAAAGTGGGCTCCCTCCCGTCCGCGCCTTCGGTAGACCAACAAGGGTCTCGGTCGCTCCTCTGTCTCAGTCGCCGCGACCTGCTCTCTATCAACTTCACCCTCCTTTGAAAGAACCTTGTCCTCAAGGTTGAAATCTGGAAATTGGCCAACAAAACTTGCTTTATCTATCCAGGTAGCATCATCACTTGGACTAGCAGCTCCTCCACCTTGTCATTTTTCCTTCGACTAGCTAATATCTCCTCAGGTTCGAACACTGGACCGATTGGAAGTTCCAAACTTTCTGGCAACTCATTCTCTAGTGGGTGGTCTTGTACCACCTTCCGCAGCTGAGACACATGAAAAACCGGGTGGATACGACTGTTGGATGGTAGCGCTAAGCGGTAGGCTGTCGGCCCGATACGTGCTTCAATAAAAAACGGCCAATAGAATTTGGCAGATAGCTTATGGTAAGGCTGCCGGAATAGGGAAGTCTGCCGGAATAGGGAAGTCTGCCGGTGAGGTCTAACCTACAAAAATACTTTATCTCCTACCTGGAAATCCACGTCGCGCCGGTGCTCATTTGCTTGAGTCACCATGCTCTGTTGGGCCTTCTGTAAACTGTCTTTCAATCGCTTTATCATAACATCCCTGCTAGGCTGCTACCAAGTACTTCTGCCACTGCTGCCACCGTGTTTTCACCAAGCAGAAATCTGGGTAGGGGCCGTCCGTAAACCACCTCGAACGGTGAAATCCTTGTTGCCGTTTGAAATGCTGTATTATATGAGTATTCGGCCCATGGCAGCCAACGTACCCACTGCCGCGGCTGCTCACAGGTGAAGCAACGCAAATATGTTTCTAACACACGATTCATCACTTCTGTCTGCCCATTTGTCTCCGGGTGATATGCAGAGCTAAATTTTAATTGCGTACCGGACAAAGAGAACCACTCCTTCTAGAATGCACTTATAAATATGGAGTCTTGATCACTAATAATTGAGCGTGGAATACCGTGTAGCTTGACTAGCTCTCTAGAGAATGCTTCAGCCACTGATCGTGCCGTGATCGGAGGTTTTAAGGCAATAAAGTGCCCATACTTGGACAATCAATCTACCACCACCAAAATAGATGTGTATCCCTTCGATTTAGGCAAACAAGTGATGAAATCCATAGAAATGTCTTCCCAAATCAGGCTGGGAACCGGTAAAGGCTGCAGTAGTCCGGCCGCAGACATTGCCTCATATTTGGCCTTTTGACAAACCAAACATTGAGCAACATAAGCTTGTACTTGACAGAACATTCCCTTCCAAAACACGTTGGTTGCGAGCCTTCTATATGTCCGGTATGCGCCCGCGTGGCCTCCTGTCGGTGTGTCGTGGAATTCCTCCAGTAAGCGAGGAATCCATTTAGAGTCCGCAACCAGGACCAATCGTCCATTGAAAAATAGCCGTCTCCCAATCAGCTCATAACCTGGTACACGAGCCGGATCGATGGCCAGTGCTTGTATAATTTCTTGCAAACATTTGTTTTTCTGTTGCTCTTCTTCTATGTCCGCCAATCTCACCCATTCCGACATACTGACCGCGGCTAGCTCCATCTTATCCCCCTTTCGAGATAGTGCGTCTGCAGTCGTATTAGAAACACCTGTTTTATATTCAATCTTGAAATCGTAGCCCAATAATTTTGCAACCCAAACCAGCTGGGAAGGGGTTGCTATGCGCTGAGTGAGTAGGTGTTTGAGGTTGCGATGATCTGTACGCACCACAAATATTCTTCCGATTAAATATGGCCGCCAATGCTGCACGACTAGTGTTAACCCCATCATCTCCCGCTCGTATGCTGATCTGGAGAGGGTTCTGTCTGCCAAAGATTTGCTAAAATAAGTAACAGGTCTCCGTTCTTGCATTAGTACCGCTCCGACCCCAGTTCTAGATGCGTCACATTCCACCACGAATTGCCTGTCAAATCGTGGCATAGTAACACCGGTGCCTCTGTCAAGGCCTTCTTGAGCCGTCTAAATGCCCCTCGGCCTCTGGGGACCATCAAAACCGAGCTAACACCTCCTTCTTCAACAGATTCGTGAGCGGTCGTGCGATCAGCCCATATTCTTTCACAAACCTCCTATAATATCCCGTCAGTCCTAGAAATCCCCGAACCTCACGGACAGAATTTGGAGTTGGCCGCTCCAACACTGCGCTAATTTTAGTCGGATCCATGGCTATCCCATCTTGAGAAATAATGTGTCCCAAATACTCAACCTGGGGTTGCTCGAATGCGCACTACTTCTTATTGGCTCGGAATTGATTCTTCTCCAAGAGGCTCAAAACTAAATCCAGCTGATCTCGATGTTCCTGCCAGGATTTGTTGTATACTAAAATATCATCAAAAAATACCAGAACAAATTTCCGCAAGTAGGGTCTGAATAAATCATTCATGGCTGCCTGGAAGGTAGCCGAGGCGTTTGTCAGTCCGAACGGCATCACCAAAAATTCATAATGCCCGCTGTGAGTGCGAAAAGCAGTCTTATGCACGTCCGGACCAGCCACCCTGATCTGATGGTACCCGGAGCTTAGGTCTATTTTGGAGAAGACTATAGCCCCCGACAACTCGTCTAACATCTCTTGTATCACCAGAATTGGGTATTTATCTGGTATAGTAGATTTGTTTATCTGGTAATCCACACAGAACCGCCAGCTGCCATCCTTCTTCTTGACCAACAAAACCGGGCTCGAAAATGGGCTAGAACTTGGCTGAATAATGCCTGCCTGAAGCATTTCATCTACAAGCCTCTCGATCTCGTCTTTCTGCAGGTGACCATATCGGTATGGACGAACTGAAATCGGTCGTGTCCCGAGAATTAGCTCAATGCAGTGGTCTGTGGCGCGGCGAGGTGGTAGCCCCCGCGGCTCCTCAAATACCCCGGTATGCTGCCCGAGGATGTCCTCCACCGTACCCAAAACTGCCCCCGACAATTTGGTAGGTTCATTGATTAAAACGACACAAAATTCTACATCCGTGGTCTTAAGCAGGGTTCGTAGGCTTACGGCGTTTCTACACATTGCTGGATCCCCTTTCAAGTTTCAACTCTATTTGTCTGCCATCTAGCTCGAAGTGCATTGTCATTTTTTTTCCAGTTGGTTCGGAACTCTCCCAATGTGGCTAACCAAGCCACTCCTAATATGACGTCAATCCCGGCCAATGGGAACATAAAGCAATCCGTTTTAACAGCACATCGTGGTAACGACACCGATAGCTGTCGACAAACCCCTTCCGACTCTTGCCTATGCCTATTTCTTAACTGGACCCCGAATTTTCCGGTCTTATATGGTTTCAAGCAAAGCAGTGATACTAAAGAACAACAACAACATCCAAGCCTTAGTCCCAAACGATGTTGGGGTCGGCTAACATGAATCGATACATGATATCGCCATAAGGAAAAGAAAGGAAATAAAAATAAAAAAGATAAGCTATTATAAAAAGATAATATAAAAGAGATGGATATACATATAAAAGATAAAATAAAAAGGAAAACAATAATAATATTTATATAAAAGGATAAAAGGATTTAAAAAAATGGGTGGGGGAGATGATATAAGATCACTCCTCCACACGAATACACGTCCTCCACTTTGCTCTCTCCAAAGTCATACCCTCATCCAATCCAAGAAGAAGCATATCACTTCTGACTCCCCTAACCCACGTCTGTTTGGGTCTTCCTCTCTCTCTCTTCCCTGCCTTTTCTCCACACATCTCAACTCGTCTGACAAGTGCATCGCTCGGTCTTCTATGCACATGACCAAACCACCGTAGGCGCGACTCCTGCATCTTATCTTCAATAGGTGCTACTCCCACCCTTTGTCTGATTGTCTCATTCCTCACGCAGTCCTTTCTAGTATGCCCACACATCCAACGCCGCATGAGCATCTCTGCCACACTCATCTTTTGAATGTGACATTGTTTCACTGCCCAACACTCCGT